ACCTTTAAAAATAATAAAGAAAATAAAAATAATGCCTAAAGAAACTAAAGAAAAACACAGTAAACTAAAACTCGCTATTAACCGAGAAATCACTCCTGGCTTTGTTGATACTAGTCCTAGAGGTCAAGAAATCAATGTTTCAAAGGTGCTATTGGAGCAAATCGAGAAAAAAAAGAAGTCAAAGGCGCTTACGATAGGCTCGAAAGATTTCAATCCAGTCGCTTTCTTGGATAAATTTCATGAAAAAAAAAATGCTGAAGTGGAAGGCTCACAAGCACCAGAATATAAAGTCAAGTATGATCGTGAAAAGAATGTCGTGTTGAGCAGACTTGAATATTTTAATCGTGTGTTTACATGTCAAACTGAAAAAAAGAATAAATTAAAATTGGAAAAAAGAAATGCCAAAAGAAATGTTGCTTTGCAATGTATAGAATATATTAAAAAAAGTCATCTTTTTGATACTCTGATCGCCGTAATTCAAATAGAAGATAATGTGTTTTCCACTGAAATGGAAGAAGTAAAACATTGTTCACAGGCTTTTCTTAACGCATTTCATCAAAAAATCATTATAGGAGATCAGCCTAAATACACTATAGTCACACTACCACAACCTAAGCTCAATAAAGTAGAAGATAAAATGGATGTTGATGAGCCAAATCAACAAATTGAACTTGACGGGCAAGATGATGGACAAAATGAGCAAATTAAAAGAATTGTAAAGAACAAACCAGCAAAGCGCTTTACATGCATACTTAAATATCTCGGAAATAAATTTAAATCTTGTGCATATAATACTGTTGAAGAAGCACGGAGAGAGTCGGCTGATAAATGTGTTGCCTTTCTTACACGTATCAGGCCATATGATGTTCGGCTAATCAAGGAGCTAGAATTCAAACGAAATCCTAACTTGGATAAATTAATTGACTTACATAAAATCAGAGTTGACAACTTCAATATTCATGATAAAGAATGCACAGTACCTCAATCCAAACTTTGGATTAATAGAATAACCGCTGAGAATCCAGACAAACCACCATATGTAATACTTCAAGAATTCTGTCTAAAATTCAAAATAGGACAAGTACATTTCATTCCAAACGAAGTAGGAGAAGGTAGATTCAATTATTCATTAAAAATTGATGGTAGAGAACCCGTTAGAACTTCCATGTGGTTTACCCATGAGACGGATGCTAAAAATTATGTTGCTAAAAAAGAACTAACTGCGCTTTTAAAATTGTACGAAATTAGCGAACAAGAGGAACTTTTAAGAGTCGCTAATGATTATAAATTGAAGATTGGTTTGGTCATTAAAGAATAAAATTTATAAATTTTGATATTGTTTTTTTTTAAAAAATCAAATGACATTTATTCAAAAATTGCTTTGGATAACAATTTTATATATGTTTACCAATAAGTTTTATAGTTTATGACTCTAACCTCAAAACCTGCTTTTATTTTGTGAAATTTATATAAAATCAAAATATGATCAACGAAAATCATTACCAATTACACTAATGTCCGCTATGCTCATGAGCATAGTTTTAAAAAAGAATAGAACTTTACAACAAATAATTTTTTTGAGAAAATCTCTCTATTACATTAAAATTAAAGACTTATTCTATCAACTAATAGAGCTACTTTTTAAAAAGTAGGACAGGAAATGACTTTATACTTTTAAAATTTGCACAAAATTTAGGAGGCCTTTAGACCGAGCCAACTATAGCAAATTTTAAGTACTCGATTTCTAAAGGGATACTCTTGGTAATTCTACACTTTGCTTTTGCTCTGCCAGCTATTGCAGATCGCCCAAAATTTCCTTCAGATAAAGGTTCTTTTATTTGTTTCAATGAATCTATAAGGATATATAAGAAAATCACATCTAAAATTCATTATACCAAATAATTAATTGCGTTTTAGATTTTTAAAATTTCGAAATTAATTTTTTATTGGTCCAAACTGTAATTGGGCAAAGTTAACTTTGAATTTTTATTTAAGTTAAAATAGGTTAATTGCATAGTTATTATATTAATTCAATTGTTGATTTTTTAAATTAAATAATTACTAATGCCAACTAAACAGAATCGTCAAAAGATAACAACAAAACAATGTCTTTCTTATACTATATACTAACACTAAAAATGCTAAAAACACACTTTACGATTAGTTGATAATTGAAAAAAACATTTTACGAGTTATCGTTTGTCATGTTTTTTTGTAACGGTGAAGCATCTTCTTTAAGTTTTTCGTCAATAACATAAAGAAATTAATCGCAAATTATCCTGTTTCTTTTTTAGTAGTGGTCAAAATACACTTTCAAACAAGTCTTGGACAGGGTTTTTTAACAAACGACCAATTTCCGTTTTTTTTCAATTAATGGTAACAGAGTATCATCGCCTTTGCATTTTTTCAAAAAGACAGTCAATTTTTCGTCAACAATAAGAAAATTATTATTGTGAATTATTCCGTTCCCCTTTACACTTTCAAAAAAGTCTTGCCATTTTTTTTTAAAAACGACCAACCAATTCCCGTTTTTTATTATCCACATAACGACTCTTTAATCATTATATGAAAAATATCATGATAATTTTTAGTTTTGTTCAACCAGAGAGGGCAGTTAGGAAAACTCCATTGAATGTCACCGCCAAATTAAACCTAATCATATTAACGCGAATCTCGAAGCACTTTTCGAATAGGTTGATCACTTGATTCAATCAGGTGACTTTTTGAAAAAATAAAAATAAAAATGAGGTTTTGGGAATTGAGTCAAAGCCAAATTAATTTGGCAACATGTGCAATAGACCAATTAGTAGGAGGCTATAATTCATTTGATTTGAATTTAATAATATGTAAAAAAATACAACTGAAAATTTTATTTATAATGTTAGATATTAATTCTACACAGTTTAGTTATGCTGTTGAGAAACATGGTCTGGAAATTTAGTCATTCTAATAATATTAGCTATATTTGGTGGTGGCTGGGATCTTATTTTAGATTATTAGTAGTAATTAGCTTGCCAAAACTCAACAGCAGAGTTACTGATTGTTTCGGCAAAGTTCCGCATTTTGGGGCTTTGGCAATTGGCAGAGTTTTGGCAAGGTACACACTAATTGTTTATTAGAGTTTTGGCAAAGTTTCGGCAGCCTTAGTAGTTATAGTAGTGATTCAAATATTAATATAATAGATTGTAAATATGATGAATTAGAAGTATTTATATAAATAATAATTATTTTATTTACATATACTACGTATTTGATCGCATATTTCTAAAAACCCACATAATAACAAGTTGGGTATAGTAATTACCTGTCCTGATTTGAGAAGAGGTTTTGCAAGCTACTCGATTAAATGTTTAATAGGATTTTTAAATAAATGGATGTGGTCTCAAAGCCTCATTTTAAATTATGATATTTATTTCTGTTTAACCATCTATTTGTCACTTACCACTGATCTTTCTCTAATGATATTATTTATCCTTCAATAACAAATTATTACATTTAATGATTGAGAATTAATAACTTCCAAAAAATGGAAGATTTGTTATAAATATAATTAATAAAATCTACCTTATCTATAAAAAAAATTTAACCAAATTAGAAGAAAATACATTATCACAGATTTTAGTATTTTAATCTCCTTCCAAATAATCTTTACCTCACTATTAATAATGTCTACATACGCTTGTTGATTATTATTAAAATTCCCAATTGGCCAAACTACATTACCTAAATAATTTTCATCGCCCTCTTCTCCAATAAACATAATCTTTTAACATGAGAATATGAAAATCATCTTTAAGCACACCCTTATTACATGGAACGGTTAAAAATTTTTTTTCCTAAAATCAAAAATTTTTTAAGCATTTTTCAAATTCTGACAAGTAATAATAATAATGAATATCCACAATGCTCGAATGTATTTGTTTTTAATGTTGTACTAGGCGATTTTTTGTTTTACAGGTCTCTGTTGTTGTTGTTTTTTGTTGTTGTTTTTCATGTTCATTTAAAATGCTTAAAATGTTTAGTATATATTTTCTTAAATTAAAAATATACATATAAATCTATAAATCTATATAGGGACTCTAATTCACAATAATAACAAAGTTTTGTTGTTATATTATCTTTTAAAAAAAAGGTCAGTGTAACAAATTGAGTATTTTGAGGAGATGACCGTAAAATCAAGCACCTAAGGTGAGTGAGTTTTTCTGCTTAGGAAAATAATTCACAAAACCTATAATCAAAATGTATTAGTGACCTATTACTAATTACTGTTAATATGAAATAGTGTGTACGTCCACATGTCAATCGATTTTTTCGGTCCTTCTGAAGGGTTTCTTGAGCTTAGCCTTATCCATTTGTGATATGACTGTCCGGGTCCCAATTACTCTACACGTTACACATTTAGATTTATATCAGATGATCATTATCCCATCCAGCTAGGCAAGTCATGAGCCAAGCAAGACATAAAAATGGTATAATTGTAGGATTGATCGTCACTGTGCACCATTACTTTGTTCCCATATTATTAAAATTCTATTATAGTAAAGGCGTTATATTTCATTATATTAATAATATAATGAATCCATCGATCATGCTCTCGGATAATCTAGTGTTTTTTTTCTCTTGAATTTATTTCAAATAAAGATAATTTACTATTTTATATATATAATTAGAAAATTGGCCACACAATTTCCTAATTTAATTTGAAAATCGATGATAAAAGATAGAAAAAAAAAAACTATATTGTTCAACAATCATATCTCTCTCAAGTGTTATACTAGTAATCCAATATAAAAAAAAACTTGTTTCTTTTTTTTTCTTTATCATATTTTTATTTTTTTGGATTTGAAAAAAATATTAATTTCATTAGAAATTTCAAATTTCATTTAATTATTTATAAAAAGGAAAAAAAGGTTTGTGTTGTTTCTTTTTATTCAACTACAAAAAAATATATTTATTAATAATAATTGAATAATATATACATTAATATATATATTTATTAGATGGTTATTCCTGACCATACAAAACTTAAACCTGTATCGTCTCTTATTGACAAATTTGAGAATAACCTTGACGAAAGTGTTGCTCGGTCCCAACCTCGTGCTCGCAGTCCCATTCCTGGGAAGTTAATTTCGGCTTTTGAAAAAAACAATAGTAGTAAAGAAGAGTCGACTAGTCCAACTTCTGAAAGCATTACTACAACAAATGAAAAAGAAGCTATTAATGAAGAAAAAGAAACTGTTTCCAATGGTGAAAAAGAAGAAACAGAACAGATAACTTTAAGTGTTGAAGAGACTAAAGAAGAAGAAGAAGCTATCCATAAAGAAGAAGAAATAGTGCAAGAAAGTGTGCAAGAAAGTGTGCAAGAAAGTGTGCAAGAAAGTGTGCAAGAAAGTGTGCAGGAAAGCGTACAAGAAACAAGCATACAAGAAAATGTGCAAGAAGAAATTGTGCAAGAAATTGTGCAAGAAGAAACTAAGGAGAGTGTTGTTGTTAATGAAGAAGAACATAAAGAAATAGAATCAGAATCAACAGCAACAACAACATCAACATCATCAACAATCAACAATGATAATAGTAGTAATGCTCCTGAAGAAACACCAAAGCCTACTACTACATCCACCACCAGTGCCACCACTACCAGTCATAATGGTGGACCAAAAAAAGCTATTAAAAAACCAAGTACTAGTACTATCGGTTCTAGTATTAAAAAACCTTCATCTATTACCCCACCTTCTAAAACAAATTCTAAAATTGCTTCAAGTTTAAAAAAACCAACAACGCCAACAACATCTACAACTAAAACACTTGGTACAAGTTCAGCTTCTAGAACTAAATCCCCTGCTACCAATAAAACTAATTCTTCTTCCCCCTCTATTACTAAGTCTAAAATTGGTGCTACTTCAAATAAATCTAAACCTACTACTACTACATCGTCATCGATACATCAAAAATCAACATCTATAGAAAAAACTAAGCCAGCTGCTACCACTGCCACTAAAACAACAAAGATCGCCCCCAAAAAATCACCGACCACTACCACGTCTAAAATCAGCTCGGCACCTAAAACTGGTACTTCTACTACAACCGATGGGAAAAGTACAAAAGTTCATCAACCTCAACGACCTACTCCCGGAGGTGTTCATTCCAAAACTATATCAAAAGATACTTCTAAAACTACTCCTACATCAAAAACAAAAACCAAAACTCCATTGAAGAAACCTCCCACTAAAAAAGTAGTAAAAGATAAAGATGAGAATAAAATAGAAAGTTCAAAAGAAGAAGAAACTAAATCTGAAGCTAGCGATTCCAAAGTCTCTGAAAATCAAGAAGCCAATGAAGAAAGAACTAAATCCCCTGCTACCAATAAAACTAATTCTTCTTCCCCCTCTATTACTAAGTCTAAAATTGGTGCTACTTCAAATAAATCTAAACCTACTACTACTACATCGTCATCGATACATCAAAAATCAACATCTATAGAAAAAACTAAGCCAGCTGCTACCACTGCCACTAAAACAACAAAGATCGCCCCCAAAAAATCACCGACCACTACCACGTCTAAAATCAGCTCGGCACCTAAAACTGGTACTTCTACTACAACCGATGGGAAAAGTACAAAAGTTCATCAACCTCAACGACCTACTCCCGGAGGTGTTCATTCCAAAACTATATCAAAAGATACTTCTAAAACTACTCCTACATCAAAAACAAAAACCAAAACTCCATTGAAGAAACCTCCCACTAAAAAAGTAGTAAAAGATAAAGATGAGAATAAAATAGAAAGTTCAAAAGAAGAAGAAACTAAATCTGAAGCTAGCGATTCCAAAGTCTCTGAAAATCAAGAAGCCAATGAAGAAGAACATCACGAGGAAGAACGTCACGAAGAACAACACCACGAAGAACAACACCTTGAAGAACACCATGAAGAAGAGCGTCATGAAGAAGAACATCATGAAGAAGTTCATGTAAACCAAGTAGTGGAGAAAGAACATCACGAAGAAGTTCATGAAACCCAAGTAGTGGAGGAAGAACATCACGAGGAAGTTCATGAAACCCAAGTAGTGGAGGAAGAACATCACGAGGAAGAGGTTGTTAAGGATGAAGAACATCAAGAGGAAGTAGTTCATGAAGAAATAGTTCACGAAGTAGTTCATGAGGAAGAGGTTGCCCGTGAGGAATCAATTAGCCATGCAATTTTGAATCAAACAATATCTACTTAATTTCTAAAGTGGGTTTTATAACGACTAATTAATTAATAAGTTACCATCAATGATTTTTTTAATCAATCCAAAATCCTATACATATTTTATATATAAATTTCTGTAATTATTTTCGGGATTAAATTATTTATTTATTTATTTATTATTGCTAAATCATCAACTATAGAAATTAAAATTCTTTTGGGGGATTAAACTTAGGATTAACATACCCTAATAATATAAATATATATGTAAACTTAAATAGTATTTTTTATATATTTTATTTTTTTTTTGTTTATATTAAAAATAAAAAAACAAGACAATATTATGTACCAGCGTTTTTTTCTTCATGAAATAGTTAATAGTGTATTCAAATAAAATAAAAACCATGCATGTACTTCAATAAATATTTTTAACTAGAATGGTTTTTCTAATACGATATGGATCCTTCAGTTTAAAGACACAACAGGGCCAGAGTGGACTTTAAAGCCTCTTGGAACGATCTATAAATCAGGAACCTGATCGTAATTCGTCTTGGCAGGCTCGTTACTGATTTCATATAACTGTTTAAGGTATTCAACTCATTCTTCACTCTCATCATTAAAACCTCCATATGTATAATCTCGATCTCTCGCTAACGATTTATTTCTATTATAAAAAATACGGGATAAAGAAATAAATAAATCAAGAAGGAATTGTATCCGTTGATGGGGTGATTAACGTGAACCTGTCATTTTTGTGTTTTTGTCTGAGACACGCCTCAATCGTGTACTCGGGCTACTTGTAATTATTACTATTTGGGGCAGTTCAACGCCACAAATGTACTTTGTAATATCAGCAACTTGTTCCTCATTTATATAAGATTAATATCTAAAAGTGAAGATAAATTTTTTCTTTTGTGGGTTAATACGTTCTGGTAACTTTTCTCTTGGATGCGCTTCTTCTCTGGATCTTTTATTAGCCATTCTTATATATTTTCTCAACTTTCTTAATTTCTTTTCTAAAGTGCACAAGCATCCTGAAATATTTTCAGCGAGCCACTTATTTTCTCAGTACAAACACTGTAATCCATTGTTGCTGTTTCTCGGATTTTTTTTCCAATAGCCTTCGAAATGGCTTTGTGACATCTGTTTCCTTTAATTAATTTATACAAATTGCTGGATCAAGAAGTCGTCTCATTCACAGACTACTTTTTTTTCTGTCTTTCTTTCGCAATTACCTTTGACGAGACAATGAGGCAGTTAATGTTTGTCGTTCGACATATATTTCCTTTTTTTTTTTTTTTTTTGTAAAGGATTAATAAAAATTGCATCACACAAGTAATAATACCAAAAACCAATTTGAAAGTAATATATGAATAATCTTCAATTAATTCCTTTGAAAAAAAAAGAAATTGGTAATTAAATTCTCGATCGTATATAAAGTCCCAAAAAAATAAAACGAACAAAAATAATAATATAATTATGCAACTGCCCCTTTGTTAGAAATTTCAACAAGCCTTTTCCACAGTGAAGTGGGAAAAAGCACCCAATGCAATACAGTTACTTCAAAATCTTCAACTTAGAATAATATCCGAATTTTTTTTAAGGAATTCTTGCAATATTCTAATATTTGAACTTGAAGTGATTTTTCTTCTTTACATTTCACTCTTTTTCTTTTATTATGTCTTTGTTACTATTCTTTTGTGCCAATAGTGATGACAATTCACGGCAAAATTGTATGAAATGACCATAGAAGTGTTAACATTGTAGAATGTGTATATTAGTCGGACGACATTTCACAGTGACTGATTTTAATATATGATCGACATGACACGTTTTCTGTACAACGGACTTT